TTTACTTAGAAAATATATAGCTAAAATCAATATTTAAAATTTTATTAAAAAAATTAAAATTTTAAAAAAGTTTGCAGACAAATTTGCCTGCAATACAAATTAAGGGATAGTGTTTTTATAAATTTATTTTTTTTCTGTTTTTTTCTTCTTCTTTCATTTGTTTTTCTATTCATTTTCTTGTTGTTTAGGCATTTTTTTCTTTCACCTTTTTGTTTTATTTTCTTTATCTTTTTTTGTTAGTATTAGTTTTTTTTCTTCATAAGTCAGTTAAAGACTATGAATCCTTCTACTCAGGAAGCTAGAAGAAAAAAGTTAGAAAAGAAGACAATCTTAATAGGCTGTAAATACTATTTAGTAATGTATTGAAGAATTCATTTGCAGAGTTTTTTGATATTGAGATAAACTTTACTATAGCAGATCGAACATGAGCAATTTGGACACTTCAATATCACAAAGAGCCAGGTTAGTCAATATTTGTAAATTAGAAGGGCTTTAGATAACTTTAGTTAAAATTGCATTTTTATCTATGAGTTTAAATAATCATATCTAATAAATATTGGCAAGATTGCTGAATATTAAAAAAAATTTTTTAGAATATTTAACAAATAATCATTAAATACTACTATGAACATAACGGTTGGTTATAACAGTTGCGTGCAGGTGTGGGGCATATAACACAGCTTTCAAATTATATAAAAAATTAAAAAAAACATATAAAAAAAAAAACATATCTATAGATCATAATAATTTAAAAACTAAGAAAGCTGACAGAAATTAGCTAATTTTTTGGTGAGTGGGTGAGTCAGCCAAAGTGTCAGATATAATTCTGGCCGGAATTATTAAATTCCGGCCAAAATTATATTATAAATTTATATATAAATTGAATATTAAATACCTTTTGATCTACTAAACCAATTTGGATGTTTTAACTACCAAAATGATCCTCTCAATAACCTGATTCTAACAAGCCTAAAATCATCAAAATACAATTACTAGATCCTGAGATCGATATAGATTTATATACTATATACTAGTGATTTAAACTGAGAAAAATTTTCTTAATCGGTTAACCAAACCGAATTGTTTCACTTAACCGATTACCAACCGGTTAAGATTAATAACTATACTATCTCGGAGCTTTACTCTAATTTTTGTTTTGACTTGCTTGTCTTTTATGTTTATTTATTTTCTTGTCAGAACTTTTCGGATTCTTTACTCTCTCTACGTTATTTTGACATTTTCTCATACCATATTGATCCCCCAACCAGTTGTACCAGGTCAACTGAATAAGAATTTTCTCAATCGGTTACCTGAAATTTATTCGGTTTGGGTTGGTTAACCGATTATAGCCCAACTAATTCAAGTCACTACTATATACTATATTATATATAGTAATATATAGTATATAGTATACAAATCTATATCGATCTCAGGATCTAGTAATTGTATTTTGATGATTTTAGGCTTGTTAGAATCAGGTCGTTGAGAGGATCATTTTGGTAGTTAAATCATCCAAATTGGTTTAGTAGATCAAAAGTTATATAATATTGAAATTTTTATTAATTAATATATAAATTTTTTGTGCAATTTGATTGGCTAATAAGGTATCAGGTGTGGGTGGGTGGGGTAGCCTCTTAAGAGATAGAAATCACCTGATTTACGTCAGGCTCCTAACTATAAGGCAATTGTGTCTATATAGGATATAAATAATATAAAAAAGGTTGGTAAAAATAAAACTGTAATTATATTGAGGTTGTGACTATAGAGAAGGTAACTATAGAGAGAAAAGACTGTATATAGAATAATTTTATATAGATTTTATATAATTGGTTTTTAAAAAAATATGATAGTAACTATAAACTAATTATGTTTATAAGATATAATCAATATAAAAAAAGTTGGTAAAAATAAAACTGTAATTATATTGATTTTGTAACTATAAAGAAGATAACTATAAAAAGGTTTGACTATACTATTAGTTTATAAAATAGAATTAAATTATATATATATAAATATATATTTTATATACTGTACTATATATGTAATTTTTAATTTTTAATTTGTTAATTTGTTTTAAATAATTTGGCTATTAAAATAATTTTTCTAATAAGTTATAAACATTTTTATATTTTAAGATATAAACTATAGCTCTTGTATTTGCAAAATATGTCTTCAATAATATTGTATTGAAATAGAAATACTATCACCTAGAAGCACATAATTGATGTAACAAACTAATAATATTCATCATCACTGATCAATCCCAAATGCTTAAATTTCTTTGTAGTTTGATATATTTGTTAATTAAATAGATTAATAATAAAAGCTAAAGCATATTTAATTTACATTTTAAGTTATTGTTATTTCAAAATTTATTAATCATGAGAGACTATATAAAGAAGCATATCAAAAGCATTATTATAGTCATAATTTTCATTAAAAAATTGCATCGATTATATCATCTGGAATAGTAAGTTTAAAATCCTTACTTTTATAGGAAACTTGTTTACAAGTTTATCTTATTCTGTTCACCTTAGATATAGCTGTTCTATCCCTAGTGCATGCACAAATATCAATAGACATGTAATAATTATCTCCATTCACCATTACTGTTTGAGAAATGGTAGAACAAGCATGGCTTACTATATATAAGTTGTAATCTTAAAAGCTCTTAATATCATTCTAAAAAAAAAAAAAAGACACCCTACTATAGTTGTTAGACGAAACAATTTTTGCTTAATGATGAAAGTCAAAACCTGAACCCTAAATAACAAAACCTCTGTTGAAAGTCGAAACCTCAAATTCTTCTGACAAAAGTCGAAACCTTCAAATCCTTCTGACGAAAGTCAAAACCCAAACTTAACTTGACAAAACCCTAGTACTCTTGCTAAAAAAAAAAAAAAAAAAAAGTAAAAATTACTAAAAAATCAGTTACTACCGAACTCTTAACAAATTCTGGAGCTCCTGCTAAAAAAAAATTGAAGCTGTTTATTGGCTTGTATATTTTGTTTTTAAAAACAGAAATTATAAATGTGTAAATAAGCCATTAACACCTCTTGAATATTTAAATAAATATAAATCTAGAGAATTAAATTATATAAATATTCTGGTATTTTTCTTTTTTTTATTTATAAATTTTTTTTTTATTTAATATTAAAATATTTTAAATTTTTAAATTTTAATTTGTACGTATAATCTAAAATATAAAGCAGTAAGAATGTTTTCGCTGCTCTGTAAATTTTTAAAAAATTAATAGTCAATAACATATTATAATTCATGTTTCTTATTAACTTCCCGATAGGCTACTTTTTATTGAGACCTGATTAATTCACTGACAATTATCTCATAAACACCACATTATACCACTAACAAGCTCATTTTACTAACAGCCTTTTTCACTGAAGCTCATTTCAAAAAGTCTTGTTAGTGAAAGAGCTTCAGTAAAATAGACTTTTGGTAAAATGAACTTGTCTATTATGAAATGTGGTGTGAAATGATTGTCAGTGAAAGAGCTTCAGTAAAATAGACTGTCGGTAAAATGAACTTGTCAATGATGTGAGTGAAATAATATGGATCTCTTTTAAGTTTTTTATTTAGATTAATTTAACTGGCAAATATAACAATGATTAAAATCAAAGAATGCTGCACCTCTTATTAATTTATTATCTGCGCTAATTTGTCTTTTATTCAATCAATATACAATGATTATTTTTTAATCGAAATACTGAAATACTGTATGTAAAATAATCAGTTTATTATTATTTTCTTATTTGTGCTAATTTACTTAATTGATAAATCCCTTTTTACGTATTAAGTTGCTATTAAGCTTCTTATTAAAACTAATCTAAGTATAAATTATATAGCCCTTTATGAACATAAAATGTAGAAAGCCAAGCCACCCTTACACTTGTTTATTATATAATTATAGTAATTATTATAGATTTATGTTTTCGTAATTTAATATTATCTTCAATAACATTTATCTGCCTCATCATCTTCTATTAGTTCTGTTGTCTTCATAGCTTCGTCAGTTTCTTTACCTTTTGTCACCTTTCGCCAGTTTCCTTCTGTCAGTTTCGACATTTCTCCAGCATATTCCTTCCAGGAGGCATTGAAGGTGTTCTTGTTTTCCAGAATTACACAACCTTTGTTTTTGTTGCACAGCTTGAACCATTTTATGAATGTTGTCTTCTCTGAGGCTGGTAGCTATGCAGAAGCTTGATTTTGAACCGTTCACTCTTCAGAAATAAGCATGACCAACAGCCTCTTCATAAGACCGTTTTGTTGAAACAACAGCAAGTTGAAGTTTGTGTGAGTATCATAACACAGTTCTTATTATCGTAATTCCTCAGATTGACTACATAAGAGAAATAAAGCATACCTTGCATTCGAATTTCAGAAAGCATTTCTCTCATATTTGAGACTTCACTTCTTAAAGCACTATGAACATAAACAAAAAGTCTAATATTTTCAGCAAAGGATTCTTTAATTGAGATTGTCATATGGAGCCGCAAAGTCATTAAGTATATCAACTAGTTTATTTTTTCTTCATCCAGCTTTGTTGTGTTATCTGCTTCTTTGACCTTTATATTTGTGGTCTTAAGAACAAGTTGACCCGCAGGATAGGCGGAGATGCTCTTTATTATCTTTTTGAAGTCAATCACGTCATCAACACTTTTAATGAAATTTTGTCCCAGCCACTTTCCGGGTTCATGAGCTTGAACAGAACCTTCCATGTTATTGTCTATCGCTGTAGAATAGTTTAGAGAGAGCTATATTTAAAATTTTTATGTAAACAATATGTTGAAGAAAGCATGTTAGTTACAAAAGCTTTTTACGTGAAGTATCATGGAAATTCATTTTTATTTCAATTAAACAAGACTTTATAATTTCAAATGAAATTTGCGCGAATATTATTAAATCCATATATACCTAAAACTTTTTCCCAAACATTTTTAATACTGCCAGTTTAAAATACCGTTATTTATATATTTTTCTTATTTCATCGGGTTTATCAAATTTTTTTTATAATTTAAGTATTATGCTACGTACAATAGAATTTGTTATTTAATATATGAAACACTGAAGAAATAAAAAAAAATACAAAAAAATACAAAAAAACATGTCTTAGCCTGATTTGAGACAATCAATAAAAAAATTGTCAAAAAACGGTTTATACGTACTAACTCTAAGAAACTTATAATAATAAGCGAATATGTTTGATAAATGTTCGTGTAACTACATAATTATACCGACTTTTTCCAGAAAGAACTACGATTGGCCAATTTTCAGAAGATATGTACTCTTTATTTAAATCAATATTAAAAAATCAGATATAACGTATAGTCGTCGCGTTCACGATAAGTGTTAAATTTATTATATGGGGTGCAGGCAATAGAAACAGCCCATTTTTACATTTTTTGAAAAATGAGTTATTATTAGATTCATATAAATTTTAACATTGTTGACATTTTTAATTATAAACGAAAGTCGATTTGCATAATAAAAAATCAAGATAATGTAAAAGAAAAACTACACAAGGCTTCGTAGAGCCAACACATCGCCACTACGTATTTGTTATAACACGGCAATTATTTTTTGCTGTATCATGTGTAGTAGGCTTAATGGTCTAAGTGGAGCATTCAAGTTTCGGTTTTATTATGCATTTACGTGAACAGAATAAAACGGTTAGTAATTGGGGAAAAATAGACATTTTTCCCGTATTTTGGGCTAGTAAATTTTAATGCCCTTATTTTGCTTCAAATTTGATTTTTTTTGTAATTCGAAGTGCTATATTGGTAATAGATAGTATGTTATTCAAAACATAGTAAAGGACAAATTTGGGCGAATTAATTAAGGTGAATGTGTTAAGTACGTTTATATAGCGTTGGTAGTTTATCTCAAGGAATCGTGTATATTTAGTCAGATTAATAATCGTTTGAATTGACATTATCGTTGATGTCTATTGTAATCTGCTGTGTCATTTAAAAAACTTATTTGCTATTGCGATAGCACACAGTATATGTTAGTTGTATTGGCATTATCGCTAATGTCTATAGTAATTTGCTGTGAAAAATTCATTTAAAAGCTTACTGACTATTGCGGTAACACACAGTATGTAGTTAAAGTTATGTTGATGTCTATCGTAATTTACTATAAAAAATTCATTTAAAAACTTACTTGCTATTGGCGATGACACACAGTATTAGTTAAAGTTTATGTTAGTTTGTATTGGCATTATCGTTGATGTCTATCGTAATTTACTGTAAAAAATTTATTTGCGGTGACATACAGTATGTACGCTGATGTCTATCATAATTTACTGTAAAAAATTCATTTAAAAACTTACTTGCTATTGCGATAACACACAATATGTAGTTAAAGTTATGTTAGTTTGTATTGGCATTGTCGTTGATGCCTATTGTAATTTACTGTAAAAAAATTCATTTAAAACTTAACAGCTATAGTAATACTCGTTATGTAGTTAAAGCTATGTTAGTTTGTATTGGCATTATCGCAAAGCGGAAAGCAAGCAAAAATTCAGTAACTGTAAAGCCATAGCATAGAAAGCTTCTAAAGACGCGTCTTTAAGAGAAAACAACGAAATGATGACTCCAAATAGACGATGACAAAAATGATAATAAAAGCTACAAAATTTAAATAAAATAATGAGTACAATACCAAAAAAAAAAAAAACCAAATGAAAAAATAAATAAAAAAATTGATTTTTGAGAGATATGCGATTGTTTGATCAATAAAATTAGGATTTAAGTAATTTCATAGAAATTACTTTTTTGTAAATAACCAATTTTTATACGTATTGCGGGTCAAAAGGAGAATTATTTATTCGGAACATTTTCTAATTTGGTAAATTTGGTAATTGCATAGTATGCAAATTGAAGTGTTGTCCTTCATTTATTTTCATCACATATATATTTCGCCTGTTGTTCGACTAGCGGAAAAATTTTTGAGCGCTTGCGCTGCGCTGCGCCTTGAAATGATGCTTTTACGCTCTAACGCTAAAGAGTACCTTGTATACAATCGGTTACACCAGAAATTACTTAAAAGAGTTAAACCGGAAAAAATCAATTACCAAAGTAAGCGATGAAACCCATCTAAGATTTACAAAAAAAGTAATAGAGCGTACCACAATTTCTTCTAAGCGCTAATAACAACTAGGGATGTTAAATGGTCCGCAGGGGACCGGTTTTGGACTGGTTCTGGACTGGACTTTTTAAGACTTTTAGGGACCGTCCACAATCAGTCCGAAACTAGTCCAGATAATCACATGATATGAATTGAATGTCATTTTGACACTTCGAATGAAATTTAATAAAACTTAAATCAAGAACAATACTTTTAATTGCCTTAATTTAAGGAAGTATAATGTTCTTTAATTGGGTTAGGTATTCTGATTGGTTGTTTTGATGATTGTTCTTTTTTTTTGCCGTATAATACAAAATTACAAAATTATATTGTACAGTATATTAAAACCACTAGAGTTGGACCGGGGTTATGAACTAGTTTCTAACTAGTTCAGGACCAGACTTTTTAAGGACTGGACTGGGACTGGACCAGACGGACTTTTTAATATCCCTACTTATATTTACCTATTTCTTAATAAGCTAATTTACAATTATTTAATGCTATAATATAATTTTTAATGCCTATTTAGACCCAAAAATTATTTGCTATTCTTGCTTTTTTTATTTTTCTATTTTTTTTTTATATTTTTATCCCAAAAAATATTATAGTATAAATATTAATCTGTAATTGTAAAAAATAAAAATTTGCTATTACAGATATAAAAAAATTACTTATCTGAATTATCTTTTTTTTTAAATAATATTAGAGTGTAGTACCTGCCTCAGACTTTTATTAATAATTAAGCAAGTTAATATATAGTAGTGCTAAAATATATACATATTATATATCAGAACTAGAACTAGGACTTTAGGTCTAAGACTATTTATTCATGGCCAAAACCTACCAGAGCCATCAATATTTCCACACATGTGATTGACCTGGATTTATATATCTCTTCCCAACTACAAAATTAATATTTACATGTCTACTACTTTACCTACATATCTAATATCTTAACTCTTAAATTGGTGTGTACTAGTATTGTTTCTAGTTTGGTGTGCTCAGTTCCAACTAGCGTATTTCCAGAAGTTTGTATCTCAAGCCATGTAGCTGCTTCTGCCTGATTGAGTAAGTATCTCAAGCCTGCATGCTACTATAACTAGCTAGTTTTCTAAGACTTTGAAATTCAGGTCTTAATATTTCAAATTTGATAATGTGCGAATAACTATACTTTCCAATATAGTGATGAGGCTACCCAAACATGTTTCACAAATGCTTCCAATACCTGATATAGTTGGATGAGATCATGAGATCTAGAGGTTCTTAACAGGTGTGTCATTATTTTTATTTATAGTGATTCTTGGCAATTGTAGCTCCTAGTTACTACTATATTCACTTATACTAGCTATATCTGTATTGGTAGTTTCGAGTCCTCTTAATATTTAAAAACTTTTATATAAGTATAACCAGAGCCTGTTAGGTTTATTAATACATACATGCCTCTATGTTTCAACCTCTTATTGGCCAGTGAGTTCTGTATGCATCAGAGGTGTTTCAAATTTGATAAGGCCAATTCTTTACTACAGGTCTCTTTATATTCACTACATTTCTTACCACTTCCGATTCTAGTTACTATCCAGTTATCATCCCAAACAAGATTCCCAATGCTACCTTAGAGATTGTTGGTGCTACCTTGCTAATTGCAAATTTACACATACAATCTTTGATAATAAAACTTTCTATAATGACCAATATTACACATAGTACCAACTACTTCACAATAAACCTCCTTCTAGAAATTCCTAATCTAGACTTGTATTTACTTGAACTTCTTACAATAGATACTTTCAAATATTTATAGATAAATATACCTACTAGGACTTGAACCCGAAACCTGCTTATAGAGGGTTAGGTGCCTAAACCACTAGGTTACAGGATTTTAACCCTAGAATTATCTATTTTTTATCACTTTACTTAAATACAATATCTAATTCTTTATACTTATGTTTATCCATATACAATTATATATTCTTTTTCTAACCATTCTTATTTTATCTTTTTCAACTTATTTTTTTTTAACAAATTCTATTGAAAGTTAATTTTTGATTAGCTGCTATATTATCTGGTTTAATTTTTAACAATTTTTTCATTCTTAATAATTAAGTATTATTCTTTATAACTATTTAATATTTAAAAAAAAAACTTATATTAGAATTAATCTCTAGTAATTTATTTAAACTCAAAATAATTTACATATCTACCTATCATTAAATAAACTCCTTTATAGTTATTAAGTTTTGTTACTTCATTTGGTATTGTATTATTAAGACTAATTAATCTTTTAAATTAGAAATTTAAAAATAAGCTTTCAAAAGCTTGTTCTGTTTTTATATTTTAACAAGATTTAATTTCTTAATAAGTTTAAATAGACTAAAAGCAAATAAAATTGCCTAACTCAAAGTATGCTATTTCTAACTAACTAAAATGCTCAAATATCAGATCTAATAAAAATAAGATCTAAGCTTTAATTATTTTTTGTAAAGTCTAATTAATATAGCTTTTTGTGACTAATACAAATTAGTTAATTAGTTGTTTATAAAAAGTTCAAACTTGAAGATCTAAAAAATCTATTCTCTATATAGTTGTAATA